CACAGTTAACGAGCTGCTCGCGTGCCGCTGTTGTGACACCTGACTGGCGCTTGCCACATACGAGCTACTGCGGTGCCAGTGACACCAGGAGGATCTCGGCGTTGCTGGAGAAAGTATCAGTTAGCTCCATCTGTATGTCTGGATAAACATGTCTGAGTGGACTCTTAGCTCTTCACCTTTTCTATGGATGTTTTTCCTCTGACTCATCTCCCGGTAGCCTACAAAGCTATTGAACTTAGCTTAGCATGCTAGATGGAAACAGACCGACGGGGACCGGAAGTTAGCAACACAGCGCTAGTCAGAGTTTAATGGAGAGTAAACAGTGTTTCTGTCGTTGTGTGAAAATATCGAAAGTACAAACGCTTTGAACCGAGTGGACTCTGTGTTGTTTCGCTTAATTTAAAACGTCCGGATTGTCTCCTGGTGTCCTACGGAGCTAATGAAGTTAGCATGCTAGCAGGAGGTGGACGGACCCGAACGTAACCAAGAAACACAGCGCAGGTCGTTAGTTAGACGGTTAGTTTGTCTGGAGGAAACGTCTCTGTGATATAGTGAAAATGTCTCAAGTCCAAATGCTGAGATCTTTAGTCAACCAGCGACTAACTGCGGCTGCTGAAGAGATATTTGGTCTGTTTGAAAGAACGATAGCAGAGTACGAGGAGAAACTGTATCATACAAAAGAGGAGAACGAGCGACAACGGAAACTACTGGACGCTGTTTTCAACCCGGAAGTCCGGAAACAAAGAGCAGGTTGGTTCACTTCTCTCAGTTATCAAACACTGTTTGTGCTACGGCTGCTAACTTTACAAGTTAGTTTGTAGTGAGATTCGGTTACAATTAATCTTTTTCTTCTTCTTCTGATCTGTTCTCTCAGCTTCTAGCTATATGACAGAAAACATTTCTGTTCCTGAGAGCGTCTAGTTCCTGAGAGCAGTCTCTAGACGAAGTTTATTAGTTCAGATTGTGTCATTGTTGTCACATTTCAGTTTCATCATCTTTACATGGATGTTCTCTATGGCGGACTACCAAGGTGGAGTGCTATTGGTTTAGAAACGAAGTGCACCTATGATGCACGTCCACGGTTATGTTGTGGCTGCTTCTGAAGGTTCTATCCACTGTTGGCAGGTTTACGTACATTAGTCAACTATAACTGCCCACAGTTGACTTTTTTGCCATGTGACTATTGATGACTTCATTGCTGCTGGTGCGTTGTGTCTTTACAATTTGTGTCGTTATGTCTGCTTGGTAACTGCACAGGGAGTGTAAGAGGGAATGATGGCAGGAAAAAAAAAGTGTATGTACTGGAGACTATTTGCTCAATACTAACATTTCTTTGTAACGTCTCTGTGTGTGTTTTCTGTTTTCCTGCAGATGTCCTGCAGCTGTTGGTGGTTAAGGAAGAGGTTCCCCCTGAGCAGCAGGAGTGGAGCTCCAGTCTGGACCAGGAGGACCCAGAGCCCCCACACATTAAAGAGGAACCGGAGGAACTCTGGACCAGTCAGGAGGGTGAGCAGCTTCAAGGACTGGAGGAGGCTGATGTCAAGTTCTCATTCACTCTTGTGAAGAGTGAAGATGATGAAGAGGAAGCTCAGTCCTCACAGCTTCATGAAAGACAAACTGAACAGATGGAGACAGAAGCTGATGGAGAGGACTGTGGAGGACCAGGACCATACAGGAACTCAGATCCAGATAGACATCAAGGACCAGATACTGATGAGAAGACTGGAGACTCTTTTGTCACTGATAACAGTTATGATTGGAAGGAGACCAGAGAACCTCAGTCAGGTTTAAGCTCTTTGAAACCTGATGAAGTTTCCGTCAGTGATTCAACATGTAGTGCTGGTGAGAAACGTTTTAGATGCTCTGATTGTGGGAAAACGACTCTCAAGATTGCAGATCTGAAGCAACACATGAGAATCCACACAGGAGAAAGACCTTACAGCTGCTCAGTGTGTGAGAAATGTTTTACTTGTAAGGGAGTTTTAAAGAGACACATGAAAGGCCACACAGGAGAAAAACTTTACAGCTGCTCAGTGTGTGAGAAAGGTTTCATTTGTAATGGAGATTTACAGAAACACATCAGAATCCACACAGGAGAGAAACCTTTCAGCTGCTCGGTTTGTCAGAGATTTTTTAACCAGCGTTCAAATTTACAGAAGCACATGAGAATCCACACAGGAGAGAAACCTTACAGCTGCTCAGTTTGTCAGAAATCTTTTAACCAGAGTTCATCTTTACAGACGCACATGAGAATCCACACAGGAGAGAAACCTTTCAGTTGCTCAATTTGTGATAAAAAATTTCGGGACAAGTCAGCTCTGAAGGTACACTTGATTAAACATACAAAAGGCAACCAGCTTTAGTGGTTCTGTTTGTATACAAAAGGTAAATCTGACACACCACATGGCACATAACGCAGGGGGAAGAACTCTGGTGCTTTTTATCCTATTTTTATTCAAAAGCATGTTTTGATTTGAGAGTGTTGCTTATTGATTCCACTTTCAGATTTTGAATTGTTTCCCTTAAAACCCTGTCCTCACACACAATTAGCAGCCGCTTGTGATTAGTGACACAATAAACCTTGATCGCTCTCAGAGATCCATGCTTTGTTTAAATGAATAAATTGTTAAATTGTCAATATGTCTTGTTTCTTCAGACTTCAATCATCCAATCCACCAAACAACACCAAACGAGAGTCAATGGCAGAATAAGCTGTTTGGCATTGGCAGAGAAGATTTGGCAAATTTTTCATGGGCGCAACCCACATACTCAGCTCTGCTGCTCATCCCACAAATGCATGTTCCTTACAAATGTGGCACCATTTGTAAGGGAAATAAACAGGCTTTCCAACAGTATAACATTTATTGCCAAGAAGCATTGTTACAACAAAGAAATAATCTACCAAACACAAATTTCCTTACTTTTTGTGCTATGTTTGTATAATATAATTCTCTTTTGAAATCAAATTTAATTCTATCTATATTCTTTGCTTGGAAAATATGTTTTAGCTCATGACTGGGTTGTTGGCGTACGCACCATGTAGGCACTTTAATATGAATATATATATTTTATTCAGAATATACCTGGTAATTAGAATGTAATATATTTAGCTTGTTCGTTAATCTGTCAATGGAGCCTCAGCCTTTGTAAATCTATGTGCAGGAGGCTCCACCACCCTGCAGATTCTGTAGTCTGTAACCACAGAGGAGAAAAAGTATTGTACAAATGAGCAGGAGCGACTTATATAAACATGCTGACTCGCTGGTTATTCATTTCTCAAGAAGTAAACTATAATGACATTTTAATTTGTGTTAGTATTACTATTAACCAGTTCATCGGTAATAGTACTGTTTACAACAAAAATCAAGAATGACTATCTTTGTGATCGTCCGCTGCCCCCGTGCGGTCAGCTTTCTCTACTACACCCCTCCAAACGGAGCCAAAGTGGTATCGTCCGTTCGTGATTTCAACATGGAGGCGCTGTTAGAGCAAACACCGTTGTGTTTTTGTATTGTGGACACATTCATGACCGCAACTTCTGTAAACTGAGCCACGCAACTATTTTAACCCTCCGAGCAGCTGCTAACGGTGTAACTGTTGTGCTTGGTGCACGAGTTTGCGCTTGTCCGAGCTGCTCGTGTGGAGCGTGCTAGTGTGGTAGGTTGGTGATTTAATGTGAGCTCAGTGCGCGTCTACGGCAGCGGACCCAGATGGAGCCCGGACAGGTCACCGGGGTGTACGGAGAGGTCAGCCGTTTCCCTGCGCCTGTTTCTGCCCACGTGAGAGAAGAGCAGCTCCCGGAGCTCCGGACATACACCGTGACTGCAGGTGTCTCTCTCTCCCTCTTTCAATTCAATTCTAAGAAGCTTTATTGGCATGGGGAACATACGTTCATGTGTGAACGACAAAAAAGAAAACTAGCATACAGAAATGCGTGAGCAGAGGAGTGTAACATTACAACATTATAATGAAAAGTAGAAATACACATACGTTTTTCTGAAACTCTTAAAGATATACTACATACATATAACTAAAATGGACATGACAGCTACAGAATATGGGTACAAATAAGAACTGTGTAACTATTGCAAACATTTTTTAAAGAAATGTAGCCTATTTAAAGGTGTGTGTTCTGTACAGTGTGTTATGTCTATTTACAGTGCAAATGGTCATTGCAAGAATCCTGACAGTCTTCTTGGTTCTGTTCTATTGGACGCTGTTTTCCTGTCACAGCAGCTCACACATATTGCTGCTGTTTTGGCATATTGCTGCATTTCAATCTGTGGTGTAGTTCTTTGTTGTGGGTTGCTATCTTTTAGGTGGTTATAAAATCTAAATATTCTCTTTTGAATTTTGATAATTAGTGGGTATCGTCCTTCTGCTTGCCATGCAGTACCTCATGATTGGGTGCTGGTATGTCCAGGTAGACTGTGATTTTGCTGTGGTCTGATCGGGGTGTTAGTGAAGTAATCTACTGTACTGTTACCCAGAGATGAGCTGTAGGTGTACCCCTCTCTCTCACTCTCACCTGTTGTGTTTGCACCTCTGGTTTGAACTAATGTTTGTGAGTTTTGCTGTTGATGTGAGGCAACAGTGAAAACCATATTACCAAACATATGGTGGCACTTCAATGGGATGGATTACAAATGTCTGCTGATTTGTTTCTTACTGTTTGGAAATGAATGGAAACTCCCCAAAAATAAGAAAAGACACATTCAGAAACCTGAAACCACACGGGGTTATTTGGAAAATGATCTGCAGTAATGTAAATGAAAAACGGTGATATACTGTTTTAAACAGAGAGTATGATGAAAGAAAAACTGTCCTCTTGAAGCATGAAGCTATTACATGTTGAACTTCCCCTCAGTGTCACACACAAAGAGAAAATATGGACAAAGAGTATCGAACCTTTCTAATTCACGGTCTGAATTAAGTTTGTATACTGCGCGATATGCAATATTTATTTGTAGGTATGAAAATACCTCCTTTGAATGCTGCATAATTACAACATAGCTGTAAGAATCTATTCCTCTGTTTCATTTAAATACTCATCCATCCCTATCAGAGCTGCTGTGGTTCGGCAGACACGGCAATGTGATGATTTCACTCTTCTTTGAACCTTACCAGTGATGTCCTGATGGTTGCACTTGAGGAAAGTTCACGAGCTCATAGATATCAAGCTGGATGCCAGTTTGCTCAAAAGCTATCTTGTGCACAAAAGCTGATATTTTAGATGGCACAAGAGGAACACAGTCTGGCCAGTAGTTATCCAGAGACATCTTCTCCTCTTATCAGCATGTTAACCTAAATCAGCTGGTGCATTATGGAGGCAATGAAAGAAACCCTCACTTTCTTAGATTTCAACCAGCCAGAAGGAAAAGAAACGTCCCTGTGGGAATGACTACGACCGCCAGCATTTCGTGACCACCTGCTGTCAAAGGCACCCTGCTACTGACGACAGTGATCTTTGTCTTAAGGGTTTAAAAGGGTTTACAGAGGAAACCATCTGTTTCCCTGGAAGAATACCGATCAACATGACTGTTGTACCTGACTGGATATTGAACACTACGTTTGATTGTGGGTTCAACACCACCAATTTCCACTGATTCAAGCAAAGTTATACAAGTATGGCTGTTTAAATGTTAAATAGAATGTCTCTTGTTGCACTGTCCACTTTGCTGCTGTAATCCTGCAAATGTCCCCCGCTGTGGGACTAATACATGATTATCTTATCTTATTAATACATTTTATTTATAGAGCTTTTTTTCAGAGTACTCAAAGACACTTAACATAAGTTAAAATCACCGTCGAAAACATGAATCGCACGTTAAAAGCAGCTCTAAGAAGGTGAGTTTTAAATGTGTGATTTGAATGACAGGTTTGGGGAGAGAGTTCTAGAGGGAGGGGCCTGCTGTGGAGAAGGATGTGTCGCCCCATGAAGGAAAGTGATGAGCAGAGAACTAGCTATGTGTCCTGGTGATTTCATCGACGTGTTCGAAGGAGAAGTTGAAAATAACTCTGAGGTTGTGGATGTGTGGGAAGTGAGACGGAGTGGAGTAAACAACGGCGAGGACGATGTTGTGAGGTAGTTGGTGAGAGTGTAGTGAGCTGCAGTGGGGATGGATTTAGTGGAGATGTAGAGCTGGAAGTCATCAGTGTAGCTCGGCTGTTAGTTGAGAGGCGACAACTTGTTCCAACATTTGTAACAGAAAGACGGAGACTGGAGATGGGCCTGAAATGAGTCATGACATCAGGGTTGAGTCCAGGTATTTTGAGGGATGGGGCGACAGCAGCCAGTTTGAGTGTTCAGGGGTCTGAAGCAGAGGTTAAGGAGTTAATGATTTCTGTGATGAGTACGGAGACAGCTGGAAGACCGAACAAGTTCAGATTAGATTGGATCCAGAACACAAGTGGAGCTTCTCATTCTCATAACATCAACATTACATAATGCTAGGGCAGGAAATACTTTTTGCGAGCATCCTCCAGTTATTACAGAGGTGCTATAATATGTCTTTGGCATTTTAAAGTTGAACAATAAACATAATCAAATCTTTTTTTTTTTTTTTCTTTTTCAACCCATCTTGGAAAACCTCTCACCACGTTCACATTCAGAGTGGAGTCAGAGCGACCTGGTCCGAGGCTCAAGACTTCGCTACTCGCAGCAGTGGACTCTGATCACAGACAGCAACGACCACAAGAGCATCAGGACTGTCCTTCCACCGGGACCCTGTGTACCTGTGTCTGGAGAGTGAGTACACACACACACACACACACACACACACACACACAAAATACTATGAGAAAGAAAGTGAATGACCCTCGCATTCAACAGGAAGCTCATGTTTTGTAAATTTAAACCCTAAAACCCATTGAGATTTCACTAAGATCTTGTTATTGGCATTTGTTGAGTAAAGGCAGGTTTATTCCTACTTTAAATGTAATACTTCTTCATAATATTGTTGTTGCTGCTGCTGCTTGAATATAAGATCTGAGCAGCATCACATATGAAAATTTGGTCATATTTGTCATTGATGACGAAAGTACCGCACGTACTTCTGCATTTACGGTTTTCATTTATTGAATTTTGTAAAATAATATTAAATGTCCCACCATTCATTCTTTCAGACCATCTGCACTTATATTGACAAAAATATTGTCAGGAAATATTAGATAATTGGCAAAAAACCTGCTGGCCATTTTGGGGTTGAGTCATGTCTTTGCTTTAGCCTCTCACCTTGCTGCAGTCGTGAGGAAGCGGGGCATCACTGTGTAGCTACAGGTGCAACAAAGTAAAACAACTAAACTTTTAACCAGAGAGTCCAGTGAAACATTGCTTTTCAGCCTGTTGTTGAGTTTGTCTTCGATCGAGCGGTTTTATTTCTCTCCTGCTCTCCAGGGTGCTGAGTGGACTGTCTCCCATTCAAGGCCTGAGGACCGTTATCAGGGAAACAAGTGGCCACCAGCTCCTCGAGGTGAGAAAAACAGACCTCGGCATCCTCTGTGAGATCAACGATCGAGCATTTTGACGGACCGTTGTTGTTTTTGGTTGTTGCTGTTCAGATATGGGACCGCCACGGCCTCAGCAAGTGCCTCAACCTGACTGCTCTCAACAAACACGGCAGAGTGTACGGCGACGGTGAGATGGACGTTTCACGTTTTTTTTTTTTTACACGCGTTGGTTCTTGTTTCCTCCAAGAAAGAAATCTGATGCATCACCACCCAAAAAAATACCAAAGCATAACTGTCGCATCATCCGTTTCCAGCCCAGTTTGGCTGTCTGTCATGGTCGGAGTGTGAGAACAAACTGCTGTATGTAGCTGAGAAGATTAAGAACACATCAATAGAAACACATGATGGGGAATCTGCATGCAGGAAGGTATTACACACACATGCACCCGATGGATTATGCTCTTTATGTGCATTCAAATCAATAACATGCAGATTGTAAATACATCAGAAGGATAGAACATTTTGTAGAATAAATTCTTGAGAAGAAAATCACATTAATGTTGTTGACTACACAGGAACATGTTAATGTGTGCAAGCCACTTATTTGTCTATGTGTGTTATTGTGCCCAAACAGGACAGGAGCGTGTACTGTGAAGACTGGGGTGAGTCTCTGACCAATAAGAGCGTCCCGGTGATCTGTGTGGTGAATCTGCAGAGCGGCTCCGTCAGCGTCCTGCAGGGCGTCCCACGTGATGTCTCACCTGGACAGGTGAGGACAGAGAGGCTTTCAACTACTTCATCTGACACCACAGGATCTTTATGTTTTTGGACCGCTAGTGTGTGCAAGTCAAGTGTGAATTCATCGGGCCTTTGGTTCGAAGTGTAAATGGCGTCTTTAATAACACTGTGTGTGTGTTTGTGTGTTGTCCTCCAGGCTCTGTGGGCTCCCGGCAGTCAGTCTGTGTTTCTTGTCGGTTGGTACCACGAACCTTTCAGACTCGGACTGCGGTTCTGCTCCAACCGCAGGTCAGACTGATGCTTTGTCTTCTGATTCAGCCAGAGTCAGCATGAAAAACAACAGCGACTTAAGCACCGAAATAAACAAAACTATGTGGAGTGAAGTTTATCTACATATCCAGGAACAGGACAGGAACCCTGTCATTAAAGAGAAAAAGAAGCTCTCAGAAATAAAATGACATAAATGATAGCGGCACATTACTTATTTTAAGTCTTCCTTTTACCCAAACACTTAAATCACTATTGGTCTGTTGTGAAAATAATAATTACTCTTCTTTTTTTTTTTAATACATACCGTATATAAAAGTACTAAAAATGGCCACATTTACATAAAAATATCAGTCAATCATTGTTGTTATTGTTACAGCATGTTGGTGGCAGGGGAGGTCATCTTCTTATGTGTGAGATGTGCTGAATCCAAACTGAAAAGGAAAATGGAGAACAGCAGTGATTGAGCAGTAGCAATGTTCAACATTAAGTTTAAGAAGTGTCAGAATAAAGTTTTTGTATAGCAGGGCTCACACTCAACAGTTGACATTACAGTTTCATTTTGTGTCTCTCACTCTTATAATTCTGTTCCAGGTCAGCGTTATTCAAGCTGGACCTGGGTGGAAACTGTGGTGAGCACATTCGTCTCTGTGTCTTTGTTAATGAATCACACACACTCTCTCTGCTGCTTCGATGACTGAACTTTCCTACCTCCCTCCAAACCAGAGTGTCTGTCTGGGGACAACTTGTCAGTGTCCTGTCCCAGGCTCAGTCCAGACGGGTCCACGCTGATCTACCTGCAGGGTCGAGTGTTTGGACCTCACAATCAGTGCCTCAGTCTGCAGCAGGTACACTGTGTGTGTGTATCTGTGTGTGTGTATCCGTGTCGATGTGTGTGTATTTGTTTTCGTTCTGTTAACAGCGACTGTTACTCCTCCACAGTTGGACCTGAGGAGCGGGAGGATGTCCACCCTGTTGGATGTTGTCAACACACCACAGACTGGTAGGTTACATACTGTAACACTAGCGATGTGGCAATGTCGGTTCAAACGTTCATGTTCCTGCTGACCGGCCACCATGAGGTTGACAGTTGAGGTTTTGAGTGAAATGTCTCAGTAACTATTGGATATTTATTTCACACATTCATGCTTCCCTCAGCTTGACTTGCAGCAACTTTGGTCACCCTCAGATTTTTCATCTTGTGCAGTCATCGGGCAAAAGTAATGACGTTCCCATCAACGTCAGCTGTACTTAGCAGATGTTAGCATGCTAAATTAAGATGTTCATTATGATGAATACCTGCTAAATGTGCAGTGTTGCAGTTACTGTCTATGTTTGCTTGATTTGGCACGTCCTACAAAAATGCATTAAATTGTCTGAAGCCCTTAACAAAGCAGGATAAAAGAGCTGATGTGGGGAGTGATGGAGTGCTCGATGGAAGACCAGCATTCAAAAATATATAAAATCAAAGGTAAAAGATGAAGTCTATCCATGTCACTTTGTTTCAGGTGAGTTTGCAGGTGTGTATGAAGCTCTGCCACCCTGCTGCTGGTCTGCAGACGGTCAGAGAGTGGTGTTCAGCAGCGCCCGAAGAAACTGGAAGGTAAAAACCTCATATTTAAGGAATACTTTGACTCTAATCACTAATTAACAGGCTTTATCTGATTTGTGACATTGTTACACAAGCCGAAATGTAAAAATCCCAGATTGTGTTGATGAGTGAGTTTAAGAGGTTCTGGTTGGTGGATTTTCTTAACTTCGAGCAGAGCTAGGCCAGCTGTTTTCCTTTGATTCCAGTCTTCATGCTAAGCTTAGCGAATCAACTCAGACATTCGAGTGGTATCAGTATTCTTTTTTAACTTTCGGCCCGAAAACAAATGAGATTATTTCCCAAATTGTCAAATTATTCCTTTAAATTAAAATACCTACACTTCCCGACCTTTTGTTAATATATTTTTTATTATTTTGTGTTCATCACAACCTCGTATACATACTTTCCATAACTCACCTACCCTCTCTCTCTCTCTCTCTCTCTCTCTCTCTCTCTCTCTCTCTCTCAGGATCTCTTTATGGTCGACAGAAGATCAAACAAAGTTACCTCCCTCTCTGATAGTAAGAGTCCATCCTCTCCTCCACCTCCTCCTCCCTCTCTTCTGTCCTCATCTCCATCTCTTCTTTTCCCTTCTCCTCCTCCTTTTCCTCTATCTCATCCTCTCCTCTCTCCTCTGCTTTCACCTCCTCCTTTGCCCTGTTGGCCTCCTCTTCCTCCCCCATTTCCTGCTATTCTTCATTTTCATTTTCCTCCTCCTCCTCCCGCTGCTCCTCTCTCTACTCTGTCATCGTGTCTTCCTCATACTCCCGTCTCCCCTCTTCTTCCACCTCCCCCTTGTCTTTTTCCTTCACTTCCATTTCCTTCCCCTTATTCTGACTCTCACTCTCCTCCTCCTTCTCCTCTTCTTCCTGATCCTCCTCCACCTTTGTATCTTCATCATCAGGAGCACAAGAGAAAACAGGAAGGTACGACAACACCAATAGGTGTAATGTTGCCACCAAAATAGTATCGAGGAATTTCAAAATATTAGTCAAAAGTTGCAGAAACCCCACAGGAGCATGCTCTGAGCGCCGAAGATGACACAAAATGAAAGACAAATACAATTTATGGATTACTGCATTTCATCACAGTAGTAACGATAATAGTTTTTACCGGGATCTATATTATCTATATCTATAAGAAGTGCTCAGATGTAGGTTTTATAGCAAGAGCATAATGTTGCTGGTAAAGTAGACTTACAATTAAGACAATTTAACTATCCAAAGTAAAATAATTTTATTTCAAATGCATTTCCTGCATGCCGTCTACATCTGTGATTTGGATATACTGCTGGACATAATATCATCAATAAATACGCGTTCCATTTAATACAGGTACATCATTTCAAAATCCCTTTAAAAACTTTGACCAGATCTTCATCTCTTTGTTATGTTCCGTCTATTGTGCCTCTACTGTGTTCTGTGTCTTCATCACTTCTTTTTCTGTCTTTACTCCCGTCTCTGTTGTTGCCTCCTCTCTGCAGGTCTCTCTGATCTTCCAGCTTATGGCAGCTGGAAGCTGCTGACAGTCCAGAAGGACCTGATGGTCGTCTGCTGCTCCAGCCCTAACACACCTCCCACTCTGGTCAGACTGCACGGCAACACAAGTATTATGCTACAATACAGTTTACTGCATTGTTAAACAAGATCATTCAGATTAAAATGTATTTATATATTTTGTTTAATAGACCACGTGTGTGTATGTGTGTGTGTGTGCGTGTGCGTGTGTGTGTGTTTGCAGAGGGTGGGTTTCCTCCCTTCAGCAGGTGAGGCTGTGACCTGGCAAACTCTGCAGCAGCCCATGATGACCTTTGACTTCCACTGGACAGTTCTCGATGTTACACCTCCACCAGAGGAGGACAACACACACTACTGTGAGCATGAGACACACACACACACACACACACACACACACAAACAAACAGTGGGTCAAAATGATGAAGATCACTCACTCTGTTAATATGAACCTCGCTATGATGTCTCTCTCCTCTCTCTCATCAGCTGGTTTAGACTTCGGGGCTGTCTTGGTTAAACCGTCTCGTCCCCCCAATGAAGCCAAGATACCTCTGGTCGTCTTTATCCACGGTCTGTGTTTACTTGTCTGTGTTGACTTCTCTTTTCCAGGATGGAAATATGTTGAAACATTTTGCTTGATTTATATTATGGTTTGTTTGCTCCTCCAGGTGGCCCTCACTCCCAGTTCCCAGCAGAGTGGAACTGCACCACAGCTGGACTGGCTAAACTCGGCTTTGCTGTGCTCATGGGTGAGATCCCTCTGTTCCTCTCAGACACACACACGCGCACACACACCCACACACGCGCACACGCACACACTGGCATACTTACACTTGAAATGGAGATGGACGCTCATTTGCATTTAGTTTACTCTAAAAGTGTCCTGTGTCTTCTTTGTGTGAGGGTATGTAAAATCAGTTTAAACTTATCCCCTTTTTTAAAGAAAATCTATTTTTACTTTGGTGAAAATCAGTAAAAAACTGAAACAGAAATTCTGCTCAATCCACATGATCAAAGGCTTTTCCATGTCTCTTTCTCATTAAGACGTCTTCCCTCTCTCTCCCTCATTCTGTCTCTCTATCTAGTGAACTATCGGGGATCCACGGGGTTCGGCCAGGCCAGCATTTTATCCTTGATCGGTCAGATCGGAAGCCAAGATGTAAAAGATGTGCAGGTACTGACTAACACAGTCCTGGATAGAGTGAGGTTGGCAAAAAAACTAGTATGTAAGAAGAATCTGTGACTTTGTTTTTTGTCAGTCATGTGTATATCCATAAAAAAGATCATTGTCACCCTGGAACTGAAAATGATTTGTCTTTGCCCAGACCGCCGTGCTTACTGCGCTGCAGAGAGACATCGCCCTTGACCCCGATCGATTGGCTGTGATCGGTGGTTCTCACGGGGGTTTCCTGTCTTGTCATCTGGTCGGTCAGTACCCTGAGTTCTACAGAGTGTGCGTGGCCAGGAACCCTGTCATTAATGCTGCTACTTTATTGGGCACCAGTGACATAGTAGACTGGTAAGACACACACACACACACACACACACACACACACACACACACACACATGAGCTTTAGCTCCACTGCAACACATCCTAACCACTTTAATGTTTTTATCCTCTCTCTGTGTCTTCAGGCGTTACACCAGTGTGGGGCTTCAGTACTCGTATGACCAGATACCCACTGCTGAAGCCCTGGCTGCCATGTTAGAGAAGTCACCCATCACACATGCTGCTCAGGTCAGACACACACCAACTTTAAATACAGTGTTTTAATCATAACGTACTGGTGAGATAATAACCAACACACTCTTAAACCAGAAGTTATTATCTCCACCAGGCTTTGGAGGATACGCGCACGTATTGTAAAGAATAGACCTGAAGCTTAAAAAGCTTCAGGTCGCGGTTACACCCTTGAGACAAAGCTGAGACTTGAAGCCGGTGCAGACATCTGCAATGATCACAATGAGAGCAAAACTGTTGCATGAGACATGCAAGTTGAAAATCCATATGATACGCTTGCGGTCTAGAGTCAGTTAGACAATTGTAGTTTGTATTCATTCAATCAAACAATACAGCAGATGTTGTTACAGACACACCTGGAAGGAGATCTGCGCTCTACTGACACACACTTGGTTTCATGTCAGTGTGTTTATCTCTGTGTGTCTGTTTGTAGATCAAGGCTCCAGTGTTACTGATGCTGGGGGCCAGAGACAGGCGAGTGTCTCCTCATCAGGGTCTGGAGCTCTATAAAGCACTGAAGAGCAGAGCTTCACCTGTCAGGTACAGCAGAGCAAACATTAAATGCACTTAATAAACAAACCTGGACAATCTGATCAAGGCAACAGACAGGGCAGGCACTCTTGTCATTCCCCCCCCCCCTTCACCCTCATCAAGACAAAGATTGTGATTATTGAAACAGATTTTTCAGCATCGTTCTGTTTGTCCATCCAGATTGTTGTGGTTTCCAGAAGACGGGCATTCTCTGTCCAGAGTGGACACGCAGGCCGACTGCTTCCTCAACACAGTGCTGTGGCTGCACCAGCATCTCTCAACACACACGGATGCATGAAGGCACACACACACACACACACACACACACACACACACCTACGTACACATACACACACAAACTGTGATGAAGCTTTGCTGAAGGAGTTCTGGATAAATTAGTTTACTATCACAGCAGTTGACAATCTTGAACATACCGATGCCTTTTTGACAACAAAAAAATGTCCATCGATCTATATGTGATGTACTCAATGTTGTAAAAAACGTTTTCAAATCAAAGCATGTAATAAAACAAATATCTTATGAACCTGTATTGATGCATAGAGTCATGTTTGGTTACTCAGTGATACTTTTAGTGATACTAAAAACGGTCCCGAGCTATTAGTTATTAATTGTTTCCCCACAATGATACAACAAATGTTATATTACTCCTCCCTCAGCTCCCAAGATACCTACTTAGATTTTAAGCCTGTTGACATTGAGTCAAGTCTGCAGTCTTACAATATCTTTCTGCAAATGTATAATATATACAGAATATATAGACCGAGCAGGCTGGCAAAGATATTCTACGATAAATGTAATTTGTATAATGTCCAGCAGATGGCAGTCTCTATCTGTCTAAACAGTTTTCCTTTTTTCCATTTATTCCATTCATGATCCATTTACCTTTTCTATACCAGCTCTATGATTTGTATATGACTGTTTTTAACAAAATTAAATGTATATGGATGAATCAGTCGGCAAAAGATCAATTTATACACATTAAAATGAGTATATCTCTGTTCCATGCAAGTGAGATCCTCTTAGTGGCCAATCAGTTACTCAGCCTGGTGGCCTTATCATCACTCGCTCTTGATTTTTCCAAAAAAGGAAACGGGGGAAAAAACCCTGAGCTCAAAGTGATGCATGTAACGTATACAGTCACGTTTAAAATTTGGCTCTTTTGCTTCACAGATATGTACGTCTCCTCACCAGACACTTTTCCTCCATTTGGCACTTTTTTATTCTCTACCAATCAGCAAACCAACCTCCATGCAAACTCCAGATCTCAAAGCTTTATTTCCACAAAACAAACCCCCGCTTTTCTTGTGAAAAGAATATGGACAAAATGTTATCTTTGGTGGCCATGTTGAGACTTGATAGTGCCGTGAACAGTCCCACCGCTCTCACCTCTCAGACAACACAAGTGGGCATTTCTTCAGTTGATGCTGACGACAAATTAAATTCGCAGATGCGGATTCTGAAGGAGTACGTGCCCGAGATGAGAGCCTGAGGTGGTTGACATCTTCCAGAAGTTTCCTCTCAGCAGTCTCACCCTGGTGTCCCAGACACAGCGGCGGTGTTAATCGTCCCCATACACCAACGCTCTGCGGCCTTGACTGCAGCTGCTGCTGCCCGATGAAGTCACTCTAATGTGGGTGTTGGGGTGAGGTCACCAATTTAAGAGATGGAGGGATAAAAGGATGGAGATTGAGAGAGAGAGAGACTGTTGATGAGGAAGCGACAGATAAAGGAAAGAGGAGTGAGACAGAGGCGACCGGGTGTTCCAAACAATGAACGAGCCAGATAGAGGGAGAAGTTCACGGCGCCACACTGTGGTATTCTTGTGTGTGGGCCGGGACACAGAGATGAAGCATTGTTGAAAGCTGAAGACAGGGGAAAGACTCATGCTCATGCTGGGTGTATGTAGGAGGTAGACAGACAAAGGGAGGAAAGAGTGCAAGTGTGTTTTCTGACGCTGGGGGACAAAGAGTCTTTTGGACTTGGTTTGTTCTGGTGCTTCCCCTCAACAGCAGAAAAGTACAGAACAGCACAGCAGAGGACCATGGGAAAGAGCTGAATACACTTTGATAGGAGGTTACATTGTCCTACAAAACAGACATCAGTGAGCGAAGGCGTCATTCCCAAGGGAGCATGCGTTTACTCAGCACATTTCATGACAAATCCTCCTGTCAGAAGACATTTTGGCCTGAGGATGGTGCTTGATAGGGAAACTCATGGAACATGCAACCGGAAGGAATATGAATTGGCTTGGAAAATGTTATGGCAATGTGCAAATGACATGTCTTTTTATTTTTTGTAAAGTGGAAACTGTCCTGATGTTGATTAGAAGATCACCAAAATCATTAGCTATGTTGTAAGGATGCGCCGATCCGACTTTTTTCAGATGCCTCTATCTGTATCGACCGAGTACCGATGCGATACCAGTGTTTAATGTGAAAGCTGTATGCCTCACTGTGTGGAAGTCACTGAGATTATTCCTTTATGTGTAATAATAATAATGGTATCCGATGCCAGATCGGCCTATTGACACAGATACCTGATCCAGCTATCTGAGTCGGTATCGGGTCAATATCAGTATCTGTGCATCTCTACTATGCAGCACTATGAATACCCCTAAAAAATGATTTGGGCAGTCTGGTAAATGATTTGGATCAAACTGAAACAGTTTGAGATTTTGAAAAACACACTTGCCGAGAGTTAGATGAGCAGATCAATACACGCTCTTATGTTTGTATGCTAAATATGAAGCTAGCCGCTTGGCTTAGCACAAATGGCAGGGTATGTTTTTTTTGTACGGGGGTTATGTGATATGTCTGTGTGCACTAACGTCCTGGAGTGTCTGTCTGTCTGTGATGACAAAACTCCACAAAGGCTTTAGAGGAGCTGGTAGGCGGATTCTCTGACCTTTGAACAGAGGCAGGCTAGCCGGTTACCCCTGTTTCCAGTCTTTGTGCTATAAGCTATTTATTGTACAATCACAAGAGCTTATTTAATTATTGCAAGAAAGCAAATAAGCATATTTCCTAAATACGCTAAAAGCATTTAAGATGACTGCACTGAACACAGCAGGTTACAGCACTAGATTTGATCTTCCTGCTGTGTTGCAGACAAGACAGAAAATAACGCTGCAACTGTAAACAGAATTGATTTTTATCTGAATCTGAGTAAAGTTCCAACATCTGCATGGTTAAGTGGGATTTTCCCCTCTTCTCATCCACTCCTCTGAGCCATGACCTTCACCTGTGGATGCAGGGTGTGTTCATGACTGTGTGTTTTTGAAAAGATGCGGTAGTCAAAATGATTCCTTACAGCCTGACTTCCCTTGATTCTTTTAAAGGGTGCCCCTTAGCCTCTTGTTTCTAGTTACGTTGTCCACTTGTCCCCCCCTCCTCTGAATGCCCTCCATCCTCGTTATTTTCTTTGTGTCCCTGTTTTTACCACGAAACAGCATTTGTTCGTGTACACAGGGTTCATTCACAAGCCTGTGAACACAGGTCTTAACGGGGGGAAGCAGCATTTTGCATCTCCCTTTGACTGTTGAATGTTGTTTGAACGCCGAGGGCCCCGCTCAGGAAAGGACGGGACGTTCCGTTATGTCAGCGCTACGTGTGCCGTGACCTTTCACCTTTTCCCCATGTCATTATTTCTCTCTCACCCATTCCTTCTCTAACTTTCTGTCACTTCAGCTATCTTTTTTTTATTGTGGTAAATCTTCCCCTGCCGTTTACTTTGTTGAATGCTGATGAATCACAACAGAAGCGTGGGTTTGTCGCTAGGATTCAGATGGGTTTACAACGCAGCTGGTTGGGACAATGATGGCTTTGGGTTTGTTGTCTATAACAGGTCGAGCTATTGTCTATGTAGTGAGGGAGGTGGTGCGTGTTGGTGGTTATGAGGGTGCTCTAAGCTTTGGGGTCTGATTTGTGTTTGCTTTGGGGTTCTGTAGAGATTTGCTAAGTGTTGATGTGTGTATGTTTGATAAAATATACTCCTTTTCAGTCCTTTTTTTGTGTGGTGACATCATTTTTACCCATTTCCAATAGAAAGAAATCAACTTATTTCATAAATTTGGAATCATGTGTCATTTTTCTTGATTCTAGCGGTGTGATCTTTTCTTCAAACAAATTGGTTTGATGGAATAATAGACTGCAGTGCCAGAATTATTCCCTTGTTTTCAGATAATAATGCTTTTAGGATTCTATAGGTGCATATGATTTTATGCACATTTTCAATTTTCACTTAAAAAAACCTGAATACCTGAATACCTACCGATCCCCGGTGAAAGTAAATCCAAACAAAATATAACTTTTACTGTATTGCCTCAAGCTCACCGTTTATTCTTTCTTTTGACCACCACTCATATACGAGACTTTTCAACTGGGTTACAGTAAGACAGTAATGTTTCTCAAATGAATATGTAAAGAAAACGTCAATGCCATATTTCCATCACGATTTCTAAACAATAAACATTAAGTCAACTTGTAATATTTGCACATAAAACATTCATTCTCCTTTTTTCCGTTGCTGGTTTGCTTAAAATTTACACTGAAATTGGATGGAAACTTGGCTTATAATAGACAAAATCACTTGCAGTGATGAGTCCCTCAATGTGACCTTAAATCTTCTTAAACCATGTTGAGCAGCTAATGTATTCATCATCATAGGTTCCTATTGCTGTACTGTCTACTGTACAATCTCAGTCTACAGCACAGATCATGAAAACACACAAGCCTCTTTCGTCTCTTCTCCATTTGGCTCACCTCCATCATCCTTTTTCCCCGTGTTTATCTATCTCCATATTCCCATGCTGCGTCCTAAGCTACTTTTGTACTGGTGCCATGAGGATAATATGAGGAGGGGATTTCTTGGCTCCTCGTTGTAGATTAGGATTTTAGCGTGGCGCTCTTTTGCGGAGAACAACATACACCCAAAAAAGGACAGGACAGCTGCAAACCCCTCGTCCAGTTGATATGGTTAAATCTCTTGAAGTGATTGTTGCTGCTCCTGCTTGTTGTTGTGGTTCCTAGATGTGTAAAGGACCTGCTAGTTTAGAGAATGTGCTATAATCAAATGTAGAGCCGTGTTTGTTTATATGCAACATTCTTTCACCCGATTTTGCTGATATTTGCTGGGTGAGTTCATGAGGGCCGGTGTCTAGTGTGAGATGGATGATGTAAGAGGTTCACAGTAGTTCATTGAGTTGTCGGCAGTAGAATTAATGGAGCACCCCCCTGAATACACACATATGGATCGGTTTACTTGCTTGTGGCTCTGGAGGGAGCTGAATAAAGTTTGAGAAAACAATTATTTCTCCAATAATTATCTCGGACATCAAATTAATAACAGGGAGTCTATTTTACAACCTGAGGGGGTGTTTTGAAACATGGGTTAGTACCAGGGAGAGGGTCACTATTGCATGATGGGAATCAGAGAATCTAGTGTTTTTGTAGCTTGACTCTAGAAGTAATAACTTTTGGGCCTCTGCCTCTATTTGTTTTGTTTTGAGTTGTTTCTCAGCCCACTTTGTGTGACACTTTTATTTAGCTTCTAGCAGATTATGCTGCATTGAAAAAACTCACAAAGAACAATCTCTGAGAAAGAAAAGGAACCAAATTATCTTAAAAGCAAATAATA